TTTTATTTTATCTTCCCTTTGAAAAACAGGAAAAACTGATTTTTGGAGAGGGGGGTTGGGGGGGGGGGGTTGGGGGCTGAACATGTGAAAGAATGTGTAGTCATCGGTGACGAGTCCTTGTGCCAAATTTCAACTCGATAGGTTGAGGGGAAGTGGGTCAAATAGGTGTCCGAAGATTTTGCCAGTCCGCCACCCAGCCAGCAAGCCAGCCCCCCACGAACAAAAGTGAAGTTAACATCAAGGATTATTAAATATCTTGAGTTTTTAAAAAGCACTGTAAATATATACAAATTGATTTTTTTAAATTTTTTTTTTAAACATTAATTTTTTGTATAATACAATGATTAAGCTTTTTCAAGTCGGTCAGCGTTAAAAATAGCTATAAAATCACTCGTTATAATAGATTAGAAAAATGAAATGAAAGCTTGGGACACTGAATACAACACAATGCTAATGAAATCAGGGATTCTAAAACTTTTAACAGTTTACAGATCACACTGTTTCAACGCTTTCTTACCGAATTTGAGCCCCCCCCCCTACAAATTTGGACTGTCATTGGAGTATCATGATGTCAAATTTTATAATAAGAGACCTTGACACTAGTCTTTAAGGACATCTAGAGGTCATCAATTACATCGTGATCGTCACTTACTTCCCGTGTCCTAGTGACCCCTGGGTGCGATGACAAACATCACGTGATTTAAAAGTTTCAAGGTCAATGGCTGTGTTAATGTCAGCGTTTACGTCACGTGATGCTGTGTGGTCGAATCAACAACACTCCAACAAAATGAACCAGTTTAAACCAATTTTGGTTATATGGTTATTTTTTTTCGTATTCTCTATTATTGATTTATTGGAGAAAAAATAATTTTACAAAAAAAAACAAAACCATTAATGGAACTTATTACTTGTTCAGCACTGTATTGGCCCATGACAAGTAGCGTAGGAAAAGGGGTGGAGTGGAGTGGGGGGGGTCTCTCCATTTGTGGGGGGGGGGGCACTTTGTTTTACACCCTTTTATTTTGCTTGCGATTTCGTCTATCTGTTTGTCTTGGTCAAATCTTGCAACTGAATTTTGACCCACTTCCTGTTCTCCATTTGAGCTTACCATCTAATCCTTCATGATCAGTAGGCCATCCTGACCTCCACTGACCCTTGAATGACCTCTGCGGATATCCCAGGAACGGAGAGTGATAGAGACATCGGGTTTTCGCTACAGCGATTCCTTATGCCTGGTTGCTCGTTCCCGATAACAACCAACAATCAAAACAACATTTTTTTGTTGTTGCTCGTTCCCGATAACAACCAACAATCAAAACAACATTTTTTTTTGTTGCTCGTTCCCGATAACAACCAACAATCAAAACAACATTTTTTTTTTGTTGCTCGTTCCCGATAACAACCAACAATCAAAACAACATTTTTTTTTGTTGCTCGTTCCCGATAACAACCAACAATCAAAACAACATTTTTTTTTTGTTGCTCGTTCCCGATAACAACCAACAATCAAAACAACATTTTTTTTTTGTTGCTCGTTCCCGATAACAACCAACAATCAAAACAACATTTTTTTTTTGTTGCTCGTTCCCGATAACAACCAACAATCAAAACAACATTTTTTTTTTGTTGCTCGTTCCCGATAACAACCAACAATCAAAACAACATTTTTTTTTTGTTGCTCGTTCCCGATAACAACCAACAATCAAAACAACATTTTTTTTTTGTTGCTCGTTCCCGATAACAACCAACAATCAAAACAACATTTTTTTTTTGTTGCTCGTTCCCGATAACAACCAACAATCAAAACAACATTTTTTTTTTTTGCTCGTTCCCGATAACAACCAACAATCAAAACAACATTTTTTTTTTGTTGCTCGTTCCCGATAACAACCAACAATCAAAACAACATTTTTTTTTATTGCTCGTTCCCGATAACAACCAACAATCAAAACAACATTTTTTTTTTGTTGCTCGTTCCCGATAACAACCAACAATCAAAACAACATTTTTTTTTTCAAAGATAGGTCACCACTGACTCTACACCTCAGGACTCAAAAATACTAAACCAAAAAAAATAAAAATACTTCAAACAAAAGACGCTCTTACAAATTGTACTAAAAAGTTTCCAATAAATGCCCCTCCCCCATGGGCGCCCGCAGAAAACTTTCTAGGGTGGGGGCAAAAAAATCGATTAACTCACCGGGGGGGGGGGGGAAGGGGGGTAAACATTTTTTTAGTAATGTTTTAATATAGTTTTAACTTACTGTAGCGTATTTGTTTGGTGAACGAACGGACAGGACATCAGCTTAGTTACTTTCTCTTTATTTTCTCTTTACTTTAATAAATTGTTTGTCTATTTTTGTCTAAAAAAATTTTATCGAATCAATCCAGGGAGGGGGGGGCCAAGTGCCCCCCCTTGCCCCTACCTGCGGGCGCCCATGCCCTCCCACCTTTTTCCTTTTTAAAACTCAGAGTGGTTAAAGTCATATGACTTTGTAAAAAAAGTGTGGGACACCTATGAAATACAATGATGTCGAATGATTTTTTTTCTTCTTAGGTTTTTCTGTCCGTTTCATATTTTGTGTGTGGTCAAATCTAGCATCTCAATGTTGAACCCACATCCATTTATGCTAAACAGAAATAGCATTGGAAGCGTGGGCTTTCAGTACAATTATGGGAAAGACTGATTTTTAAAAAAAATATATTATCTTATTTCTTTATTTTGGGGTGCGATATTTTCGGCCACATACAGAGTTTTATTTTTCGTGAAAGTGAAAGGGCAGATATCCTGGCCCGCCCGGGTAGACACTAACCCTGCCTACCCCACCGCCCACGTCTATGGTGGAAAATGCTTAGTTTCTGTTGGGAGATTTAAATTAAATAATGATTATGATGATTCAAATTGTGATTGATTTGATTAGAATAATGATTAGAATAATGATTATATTGATTCTAATGATGATTAGGATTAATGACGGATACGTTTTTCTTAGCTTGCGTGTGTAGTCATTTTGTAACGGTCAGTAAAGTCAATGAAATTTTTTTAGAATTATGGCTACATTAGTTTAACATCTGCTCGGTTAGTTCACGTTGACCATTGTAGCGAAAACATTTTAGCATGAAAGTGCTGAAAGTTCAAATGCGACCATTGTGGCAATCTATTTAAAATATGTACCAATATATTCGTAACATGTTACAACAATAATTCTCGCATAATAACTCAAGTGATGATTTATTATAACTTCAAGACAACGTTACGTCACAGTTTGATTTTTCAAGTGACAAGTACAAAATTTTCTCTTACAGAAACTACATCCGTCCAGAGAGGGTGCTTTTGCCTCTCCCCTCCCCTCAGCTGGGGTCGGAGGGGCGCTCGTTTCTCAGGGCGTCTATCTCTTACGGGAAGAGGGTTTCTTCCTTCAACGAGGACACGACAAGAAAACAGGTTTGTCTCTTATGTCTTGGGCCACTCCGTGCTGTCTTCTGTGTCTTGGGCCACTGCATGCTGTCTTCTGTGTCTTGGGCCACTGCGTGCCGTCTTCTGTGTCTTGGGCCACTGCGTGCTGTCTTCTGTGTCTTGGGCCACTCCGTGCTGTCTTCTGTGATGTGATCATATAATTCCGACATCTGATCACTTTTTAGAAGCAACATCGCATTGATACAATCAAATAATCGGACAAGGTTTTTGGAAATCTTGAAATAGAAAGACAGGAAAATAAAACAAGAAGGTTTCGGCTAAGAGCCTTCCTCGGCAGATGGCACAAAAGATGATACAACAACAAAACAAAACAAAAAGAAATTAGTTTTTAAAAAAGTTCGTTTTCGCCATTGCTGTTCTTGCCTGACGTTTGGATTTCAAAAACCAATATTTCAGGAATTAAAATAATGTATGTATCTTTAAAAGGGTATGTGGAAGCTTGAACACAATCCGTAATTTATCATCCTTTACTACTTAAAGGATTTCAACAATATCTTCTGTTTAATTGCAAAGGCTGAACTCGGTACATTGTCTTTTAGCAATCATTTTTAGCAATGCCATATTAACTCTTTTAAAATACGTATTTTAGAAGGAAAAAAATTGATTTAAGTTGTATTCATACGCATCCTCTTAAAAAAGAATAATAAATGTATTTTCATCATGTCCATAACAATGGTCTTTTGTGACAACTGTCAAACTCAGTCGTGTTTGTCCTCAGGTGGTGAAGATGCTCGTGTTCGTGGTGATCCTGTTTGCCATGTGCTGGGGTCCCATCATGTTCAACAATGTCCTGGTGTCCTTCAATGTCCTACCTCAATTTCACCACGGCTACCTCAAGCCGATGAGACAAGCCTTCTGGCTGATGGCGTACATCAACTCTTGCCTGAACCCAATTGTGTATGGTTTCATGTCTAAGGTAAGCAAAACTATTCTGTCCGGCTGGACGCAGCTAAGAGTTTCGTGTTTTTTAAGCTAATATGGCTTGTCATTTGATGGCGTAAATCTATTATTAGAACTGCTGTAATCATCCGGGGACTCGTGTCGGACAAAACGTCAACTCTGTTCAGTATTACTATGTCAGCGGAGTGTCCCTGAAACTTGTTCACAACTCTATTTTACGAAATATTTTACACATTTTTTTTCACTTCTATTTTCTGAATTGGGACTCCATTCCGCGTACGTCATATGTAACAGTAACTCTAGATACAAAGATCGTCCGAACGATATGCTGAAACACGCTATAAGCTGCCATGTTTTAAGCAATATTTGTCCGCCGACCTTCCAAAAATAGTACGCTATGACGTTTTCCGGTCTGACAACTGACAAAGCCTGTGGGGAATTTACTCAGGATCCTCCGTCCCCTGCACAAGACAGTGTGGAATGGTCTTTATTAAATTATTTGTTTTAAATTATCGAAAAGAGAGACGATGAAAAGGGAAGGGGAGATGACGTAAGAGGACGGGAGAGAAGATGAAAAGGGGGGGGGGGGGGGTCGGGGAAAAAGAGGGGGGGGGGATAGAGCGAGAGTAATGTTTTTAATTTTGTTCTTCAGAACTTTCGAGAATCATTCCGTAACACTGTCCGGATGTGTGTCATGAGGGGGTCGTCTCGTGACATGGCCCGACACAAAGCCTTGTGGAGATGTTCATTCCAGGCACACGCGGCCTTCCAGGTCAATAACAGGTTAGCAAAAGGATCGTGCACACAAACATACACATACATAACGGGTGAGCGATAGGCAGGGACATCTTAAAAGCCCATGGGGGCCCTGTCCAAAGTCATTAACGGAGCGCCCCCCCCTATTACTTTCTAGCCTATTCAAGAAATATTAGGAAAATCATTTGGGGAAAATGTTGGCCTGTTGGCCCATGCTTTTGTCACCAGTGGTTCTTTCAGACAATTTCTTTTGGTGAAAAAAAAAAAAGAGAAAAAAACGGAGTGGTCATTATAAGCGTTCAGGGTGCATTTTGACACATACCTAATTTAGTTTTGCACGATTCTAAAATTAATCAGCTAGCAACAGATGAGACGCTAGTGGAAATTTAGGTGACCCTTGACCTGTTCGTGTTTATACAAATCTTTTATTTTAAGCTGTTTCTAACTAAATATTAGTAATGTTGTTTTATAATTTTCAAATTCAAAACTTTTTTAATTTGTTTGCATTGCTTCATTAAAAAAATGAATTTTTTTTTAAATAAAAAAATTAAATAGTTGCGTCACGCATAGTGACTGCTAACATAATTATCGGCCTACTCGATGAATTATAAAGATACAAACTATGAGTATAACAATTATCGTTCTGCATTTATTTTAAAATTTGAATATTTTAAAGTTTTATACAAAGAAAAAAGCAGAGATGATGTTTTGTAGCAAAGGTCTACAAGTCTATTGATTTTATTGCTCTTTAAAACTGGTCAAGTATTAGATATATTATACACAAAAGGCATCATACATTTATTAATAACGGATATATCTAAGGGAAGTTGAATCTGTAAGCCGATAAATGTCACTCAAATTCAGAAAATGAAAAATTTAGATGAAATTTCAAACATTTTTCAGATAAATGACTAGTTAATGAACATAAGGCAACTATTGTAAAACTCTCTGAGTTACCTTTAAGACATTCTCCCCACTCGCCAGATTTTTAAAAAAATAAGTTATTTTTTTTCTTTCTACAACTAGCACCACAACAAAAATGGAACTAGTTTCAAAATCGAAAACTTATTCACAAAAATATTTTGGAAACCTGCGTGCAACTGCACTTTCAGTGCCAATTAAATTACTAAAAGAAGTTTCAATGTTCAATAACAAAATAGGCAACTTGATGCCCTAGAAGCATGAAGCCCCGTAAAAGTGCCCAGTGCGCCCTTGAATTATGACGGCACTGGCCGCAAGACCATACACATAAATACGCGCACTTGCGTATGGACGTGCAAGCACTTGAATAATGTACTAACTCATTTAGGCAGGATGCTCCCACTCATTCAAACCATAGCAAAAAAACAAAAAACAAAAAAACTCATATTTAAACTACGTCTTGATCTTGCTTGTCCGCTGGAGTGTAGCAGTGGTTCCCATTGACTTCGAAAATGGACATCAAATCCCCCCACTATCTAATAATCATATCAATTTCAGATCTCCAACCACATACGAGAGAGCCGCCACTGACCCCCATCTTCTAAACGGTGGACCCCGGCCTAGCATGAGCAGTCAGGGGTCAACCCAGGTGACCCACATTAAGAAAGTGGACGGCCATGTCACGGATAATGCACCCGACTTCGATTAATGCAGCCCCCCCCCCCACCCATTCATGCCACCAAAATGCTGATGATGTGGATAAATGTATATTGAATTTATAATAAAACTTTTACTATGATGAGATGTTTATCAAGAAGCACAATTTTGTTAAGCACAAGTTGAACTGCAGCTGCAACAGAGAACTGCTTGCCTAAGGGCTGAATATAACAGACGCTGGACAATATTAAAAGAGGCACTGGACAATAGGGATGCTCGCAAGATTTTCTTTTCAAGATATTATCTCCCTTGTTCGCTCTCCAGTGTTGAAAGTACTATTCAACCAATGACGTACTAAAACGCCAATCAACAAACGGAAATTAAAGCTCTCAGAAAGGAAATATAATCTAAATTAACAGTAGTAAAAAATAGGATGTTTATGCTATTGGTGTATTTGGGAGGCAGAAATTATCTGTGATCTCTAGCTTCGAATATGCACCGAACACCCTGGCTGGTCATTTACACCCTGGCTGGTCATTTACAACCTGGCTGGTCAACGGACACCCTGGTTAGTCAATGAACACCCTGGCTGGTCAACGAACACCCTGGCTGGTCAACGAACATCCCGGCTGGTCAACAGACACCCTGGCTGGTCAATGAACACCCTAGCTGGTCAACGGACACCTTGGCTGGTCAACGAACACCCTGGCTGGTCAACGAACACCCTAGTTGGGCAAAAGAAACCCTGGCTGGTCAACGGACACCTTGGCTGGTCAACGAACACCCTGGCTGGTCAACGAACACCTTGGCGGTCAACGAACACCCTGGCTGATCAATGAACACCATAGCTGGTCAACACAGCTTTTCCGTGATGTGTGGGCGTCATCTTCCCGAACTATTGACTTTAGAATTTCTAAAAGGACACTTTAAATCTTAATTTCAAAAATAATCTTTCAAATATTTACACTGTAAGAGAATTTTAGCCAATTGATGACGTAAATTTGATGTACTCCAAATCGTAGCCGGAAACTTGATCGAAAGAAATTTTGTCGACTGAAAATCGATCGACGGTAATTTGATCAAACGGAAATTTGGTCGAATCTTTTTTTTAGTTCACACGTTAAAATTTTGCGTCAAATTTCTTTTTGATTGCACTATTTTTTTTTACTTTATAGTATTGTGCGCTCAAAATTAAAATTTTGCGAAAATTTTAACGTGTACTGCAAAAAAGATTCGACCAAATTTCCGTTTGATCATATTTCCGTTGATCAATTTTCCTTTGACGAAATTTCTTTCGATCAAATTTTGGTACCCGCTTCAAATATGAGTAGCCTATCGCTAACGCGGGTTGCCATTGACCATCAAGCGATCACTCCTTTCATGATTACAGCCCTTTGGCTTTTAGTACTTTTAGTAAAAAAAAACAAAAAAAAAAAAACACCAGTTGTTTATAAAGCTAAAACTAAATATTAAATAGGAACGGGCCAGAAGGGCGAAGCCTTGCTCAAAATGTAACTGGTTGTGAAAGGTAAACATAGGATTAACCACTTACCTGTGTAAATATTGTGTCGATTTTAAGCACTGATATCAATTTAGGTGTCATGATGCCGGGCGTCTTGGGGGGGGGGGGGGGGGGGGGGTAATGAATCTGAAATGTTGTGTGATCAAAGTGTGCAGTTTTTTTTTTATAATTTGAGACGATTGAAAAAAAAAGGGAAGGGTGATAAGGTAAAAATGTATCCAAAATAGCGCGACGTCATTGTGGATCGCCTCCTATTGCAAATAATGGCACCACCGTCGTGACATCCCAACTCAGTCACATATTGGTGTTCGTATTTTACCCACTTCGAAATAGTATTTAGTTTGAAAACGTATTTTGCCTGAAATAGTCTTTAGTCTGAAATAGTCTTTAGTCTGAAATAGTCTATAGTTTGAAATAGTTTTTAGTTTGAAAAAAAGGTCTTTAATTTGAACCACTTTTTAATTGAACTGAAGACAAAGCAACTGTTTGTGCGAGTTAACCTTTAAACGACTTAAACCACATCGATTTTTCTAAACGAGGCTAAAAAAATAATAAGTTATTCATCAGAAGTACGTTAGGCAGGACTGGGTTGATGGAGGAACATACATCGTATCCACTGCTAAACGTGTACGTCATTCTGGTGTAATGTTACCGTCGTTACGAGTGGCATCACTAGGGTTGGTGTTGAAAGCACTGGTACCGGTAGACAAGTCTGTCTGCTGCCTGTATGGCTGGGTGACATCCGGTCCTTTTACACCCCCCAACCCCACCCCCAAAAAAAAAACAGTTTATAATACCACCCCACCCCCAAAAAAAAGTTAATAATACAAACCCACCCAAAAAAAAAAAACAGTTTATAATACCACCCTACCCCAAAAAAAAAAGTTTATAATACCAACCCACCCCACAAAAAAAGTTTATAAAATAATGAAAATGAAACAAGAATGTATTTGTTTAGCCTAAATAATCAAGCTATTTATAACAACGTCATGGCATTGTTGCAACATAGCCGTAAAGAAAGAATTAATAGCTCGTCAAAAGGGCGTTTGACTTGGCTTAAATAAACCATTTTACAACAAGAACAACAACAACACAAAACAAAACAGACAGACATGTATTCCCCGGGGCAGGAAACTACAGAAGACGTTTATGTAGTTAAGAATCTCTTTGTTAGATCAAATTCCCAGCAAAATGTGTTCTGTACACAGGGTCTTAAATTGTGCTTTTGGGAATACGAGGTTTAACAAAAAGTGTTGTTTGATGTTTTGCTATGAGGGTCTTTGACTGACTTCTGTCATGTCAGGTACACTACCACCCTACCCCTACCTTTTTTTTTTTACTGGTGTACATTGTCAGCTAAGCCAAGGGAAAAAATGGGTTGGCCCTTAGACATGTACAAATTCAATTATTTCGAAATGTTAACAAACAGTTGCAACCCAAACCCTCGCCAACAGTCAACTCATGCTTGTTTTAACTTTTTTTTTTTTTGAGATGGTTGTGCGGAGAGAGATAGAGACAGAGGGAGAGAGAGAGAGAGAGAGAGAGAGGCGGAGAGAGAGACGGGGCGAGAGAGAGAGAGACGGGGCGAGAGAGAGAGACAGACAGACAGACATACATAGAGACAAGCAGAGAGAGAAATCAGAGAGAGGCAGAGAGAGGAAGGAGAAAGAGGCAGACAAGAGAGAGACAGACAGGGAGACAGACATAGAGAGACAGAGAGAGAGAGAGAGAGAGAGAGCGCGAGAGATAGAGCGACAGAGAGCGACAGAGAGATAGACAAGGAGAGGGATGAAGAGAAAGAGAGAGGGATAAAGTTAAAGAAAGGTGCTTGCGATGAGTTGATGGTTGATCGGTGGGTGGTGTGACGGCGTGTGCAGTGGAGTGGTGGGACATGCGTGACATGGAATGTCTCAACGTCTTAAGCTAATGGGGCTAACGTCAGCTCTATTGATTGGTCGGCTTTTAAAGTGGAAATGAATGTGCTTCAAATTATTTTGTGCAAGGCTGTGAAAAGTTTGAGAATTTTCGAAATATTTTTCCCACATTAATTAATTTATTTTATATAGTATTTTTTTAAATCTTTGTTGTTCTTTTTTTTTTGGGGGAACGGGGGGGTTTGTTTGGGTTTTTTTTGGTGGGGGGAGGGGTGGTTGCAAAAAAAAGATGGGGGATACATCAGCTGTATGTGATGTAAAAAGGGCACGAGAGTTGACGATAATTACAAGTAATACGGTCATACTATATGCATATTTGAGTGGTAGCTTACATATGCATATTGTCAATGAGTGGTAGTTCACAACTAGAGTTGGCACTTAATCAGACTTTGTAATGGAAAGTTTCACAACAATGAACGTGTATTACGTTGTAACATGTGGTGGAACAAAAATTGTTAATAGTTCTTAACTAATGTGTACTCTTCTATAAAAGTGCACAAGATCTGTCTGATTGATTAACTGTGATGTAATATATTAGTTCACTGTCCTTACAATTTATTTACAATGACGTAACTAAGCTTTCACAGACGGTGTCGGCACAAACTATTATTCAAATTTTTTTCCGCCGAAAAACAAACAAGTCTCACAATTTTGTTTCCCTGAGATTGTTATTTTGTTCAGACCGGTCGGTTTGACCGTGTCATTGTTTATTGTAATACTTTCGTTATGATATTTAATTATGACTGATAAATAAATTGAATAAATAAACAAATATTTCCGGTGCTGAGTAGTCTGTGATTTCTTTCCATGATCTTTTCCCCATTAAAGTGATATTTTATTGGCAGATGTGTGAACTGGATGACAATTCATTAAAACTTAACTTTTAACTTTTAAATTGCCTCTTTCAGAATATTCATAAGACATGACTCTTTTTACAGATCTTTTACGGATCTTTTACGGATCCAAATAAAAATAAATGGACTTTTTTATTTTTTTTTTATTTTACATTGTTGTTCAGATTCATTTTCAGCATATGGATAAATATTATTACAAAGACAAACAAATTAAATAATTTAAACTAAAACAATTTTAGCACAAAAAAATTTTAAGTATTCCTCAGTCAAAAAAATCAGCCTTCATATGTCATAATACAAAGCTCCATTCTGTAACCTATAATATAAGTTTGAGCCAGTAAAGCAGGAAATAAAATTTTTATTTATTGGCTTATATAGGTATGAAATATTGAGTTGTGCTATTTAAAGAAATGTTTTTTTCATACATAGCATACCTTTTATTGCATGAGACTTGTAATATAGTTGTTATGTGAATTATTATTTCCTGTTTTTAAATAGTAGGTCCATGTAAATTTTCACAATATAAAGATCACCCATAAAATGCAAACTTATTTGACCTCTAATGACTTTTATAATGTGACCCCTCTATTTGAAGTTAATCTAATCTATAAATAACACTTTCTTGGGTTTTTCTCACAAATACAACTGATAAATTTAATCATATATGTGCCATATTCTTATAATCTGAGTAATTAGCTTTATAGTGTGTCAAGTCTAAAAAAAAAATATTTTTTTTAAAGGTGTCCTAAACAATTGAAATGATAATTCTAAGATAACTATAATTGAAATATTATGAATTTAGAAGGTGATGGAATGGACAGAATTAAAAACTTCAAATACAAAATTTTATTACACTTTGTCTTGTTGCAATGATACATGTGTCTGTTTATAAAGAACAAAATTATGACAGTGTGAGTGACAGCGAGACAGTGTTTAAAAGCATTATCAATGAATGAGCAATCATATGTAGAAGCTTAAAATGATACTTACTTTGTGATTAGGAGTTATCTGTCTTACTTATTAGTTTTATTTGAGTGATCTTTCAATCATTTAAAAATTTATTTTAAAACTCCCATTCAAAATAACTTTTAAATGATTTCAAATCCATTATATTATATCGTAATTAATACGTAAAACATTTTTTAACTCATTTTCCCACTCTCAAGAAACTCTAACAAGTTTATATTGAAAATATTTTTAAAACCTTATCCGCATATTTTTTAGAAAAGACTTAGGGCCTAAATGTATATTTATTTTTTACTAGTTTCAAGTTTAACTATTTATTCATCAAGTTGTATATTGCATCATGTATCTTTCATTTTTAAAGAGAAACTTCTATGCTATGTGACCATTGTCTTGAGGAATAAATTTATTGAAATGTACGAATGGATTTTTAAAAAAATTCTCTTGACAAATTTCATAAAATAACAGAAATGGGATGAAATAATCTAATGACTATATCTGTATCCAAGTGGTGTGTTCTAAATATTCATTGAAAAAAAAAATTATTTTTGTTTAATTCAATTATATTTAACTTTAGGTTAAAACTTTTCTTGTTTTATGTTAACAAAAAAAAAAATAAAACCAAACTTGGAATGACTATTTTATTACTTTGCAGTGCACTTTTATGTTGTTTTTATTTTAACCTTTTTTTTTTGTAATTCATTTTTATTTTTTATAATTGGTTCCCTGACACTTATACAAAACAACTTCTTATTTACATGACATCTTTTAAACCATTTGGCTTAAAAAAACTTTCAAAAAGTTAAAATTTTAAAGACATAGATCAACCTCAACCTACAGATACTTTAAGTATATTGACCTCTCAAAAGTAAAATTATCTTCCGAGTCGTTCTTCTTCTCAAGCCGTCCGATTTCAAATTCTTTCTTGAGGAGGATGAAACGTTCAACAAATTTTGAAAAAATGCCAGATTTGAAGACAGTGTCCTTCTCCAAAACAGACAGAGACTCCAGAAGTGAACTAGGACCTTTCTCAGCCGATGGAGAGTCACTTAACTGAAAAGTAACATTTTTAAACTCTGTTAACATTACTAAAACTTTGCTTCTTGCATGCCACATGATTGAGTTGCTGTTATTTAATGTGTTAATTCATTTTAACCATGGTATTTTTATTATTATATTTAAGTTCTTATAATCCTATTGAGAGACTTTTATTACTGATTTTAGTTCAATGGCTTTTGTATATTTAGTTAATATCAACTTTTCACACACTTTAAGGACAAGTCTATTTGATACAAACATACAAGGCCGTTCCCAACAAACATACAAGGCCGTTCCCAACAAATATACAAGGCCAGTCCCAACAAACATACAAGGCCAGTCCCAACAAACATACAAGGCCGGTCCCAACAAATATACAAGGCCAGTCCCAACAAACATACAAGGCCAGTCCCAACAAACATACAAGGCCAGTCCCAACAAACATACAAGGCCGGTCCCAACAAATATACAAGGCCAGTCCCAACAAACATACAAGGCCGGTCCCAACAAACATACAAGGCCGCTCCCAACAAATATACAAGGCCAGTCCCAACAAACATACAAGGCCTTTCCCAACAAACATACAAGGCCGTTCCCAACAAATATACAAGGCCAGTCCCAACAAACATATAAGGCCAGTCCCAACAAACATACAAGGCCGGTCCCAACAAATATACAAGGCCAGTCCCAACAAACATACAGGGCTGTTCTGGATAGATAAACAGGGTGTTGCTTAAAATAAGTGTGACCGCCTTAAATGATTTTTAATAATATCTGGGTTTTTTTTTGTTACTTCTAACTTCTAAAATAGTTACTAGTAAAATGTTTATAAAACTTAATTTCATAGATAACAAAATCAAATTTGTTGTGTCCTCATTGGTTCTGGAAAATGTTTTCTAATGGGCTGTGCCCTTGCATAAGGTCAATGCACCTGTTAGTAAACCTCTGACCCAATTTTAGCCACTCTTGAACAATGGCCCAATTCAGTTGCTCTTTTGTTGCTGTACCCCTGCATAAGGTCAATGCACCTGTTTGTAAACCTCTGACCCAATTTTAGCCACTCTTGAACAATGGCCCAATTCAGTTGCTCTCTTGTTGCAGATTTGTTACAAAGGTAAATTTTTGCTGGAGGCACCCCAGATATCACAATCTTTCAGATTTAGATTCAGGCTGTTCGGGGGTGGTGGGGGGGGGGGGGGGGGCACATGTCTGGTTCGATGAAGGTTAAATTGTCCTCGCGGCATGTGAAGGAGCTCCATCCTGTTGCAGTGTCCAGTTCTGATGATTACATCTGGCTTGACTATCCGGAAGCCATCTTTGTCCTTGGAAGTTTTCAGAGTTGTACTCACTATTTAATCTTGCTCCAGGCTCCACAAACACCACACTTGTTCTTCACACCCGAGACACACCGAGACACACCGACCAAAATTGAATTGTTTATGTTCATGTCTGAGTCTCGTTGCTGGCACTTGTTTTCTCCTTCATGCTTTGTTATAAAAAAGATCATCTTTATAACTAAAGGGTGTGGCGATAGAAAATGCCTTTATGTCTGTAAACTAAACCAAACATTTCACACACTTTTCTGGTTTGGAAACCTAACCAGTAGCTGTTTATCTCATTGCTGATATTGACATTTGCTTCTTTTTTTAATTTTTTTTTTTATAACCTGCCCTATAATGAATTTGTTCATTTCTAGTATCAGATCTTGCGTCCCAATGTGTTGCACAGTTCTTCATGATATATCAGCTTCCCCTTCATTTCCCCATGGACTCTTGTGACTGTGAGAGTCGTCATCATGGCTTCCACTCAGCGGAATCACACCCTGAGTGTTCTGCACTGTTATAGCAGACTTTATGCGGCGGCTTCCTAGTTTTTTTGCTGTCGTACCATTGGCAAAATTGTGTTGTTCTACTTGTAAAGAATTGTTTTACTTCATGCTTTATTCTGAAAGTCGGTAATCATTTTCCCAGCGCCTCATTGTTTTTCAATTCGGAAAATTTAACTCTGAATTCATTCTTCGGTTGCCACTTCTTGTTTTTATTTTAAAAAAACAGTATCATTGGAAAAGTTATTAAAATTTAAAGTTGATGGCTGGAAGTTAACGAAGTCGTGAAGCTATATATTTATGAGTTAGTAAGTAAGGATCATTTTTACCATTTAAAAACCACCCAAAAACTAATTTGATGTATTCTGCACAAGATTTCATGGGCTGTCCCACTTTCTTTATGCCACTACGCATGTAGTTAATAATTTTAACAACATCCTATTAAATCTTATGAAATATTTTTGAGAATGACGAAATATCAGATTATATCCAATGTTTACATTATAACTGTTTAAAAAATACACTATTTAAAGTAGTTAAAACAATTACAATTAAGTTATTTAATATTTCAAGTCCCCTAAAGTAACATGTTGGTAGCGTTGAAAAATTAAAATGATGATCCAATGACTGAAACCAAGTCAAGTTAAAACATCCAGCCCAACTGCCCTGGCTTGAAGCTAAGAGATGAATTTAGATGCAATTTCAAATAACAGTTCTTAAGGGGCATCACCATCTTTCTAGCCCTGGACGACATAAATACTAATGAAGATACCTTCCAAAAATACTTTACCTCAACTGGAAGAGAAAGTTTTGTGACAAGTCCATCCATACCAGCAGCCACAATGGCCCCAAGCACAATGTATGGATTACTTGCCGAGGTGGGAAGGGCATCTGCGATTTGAGGGCCGTCGTTGGTCAGGTCAAGCTTTAATCTGGCTTTTCTGCAAGGGAGATTTATCATTGGAAAAGTTGATTTAGCCCCTTACAACATTTCATAATTTTAACCTTTGGTGCTGTTTAAAAAGAATAAATATTAAAATATGGTTTTATTTAAATGAGATTGTGCTTATCAGACTTTTTCTTTTTTAGCAACAGCCAGGGATGTCATTTGGGTAAGGAAAGGTGGGGCATTTGCCCCCCTCCCCCTGAATTTGCAGGTTTTATTAAAATTGATATGTACTGTGGCACCTCCAGTAATAAACAACTCAACAAGCCAAACAAGTTTTGGTCCCCCCCCTCCCCACACTCTCCCTGGTGTCAAGTTGTTAGAATCCCTGAGCACCTGTTTTGTGCCAGGCGAACTATAAGTTCTGGTATAGCATAGGCATACAATGGGAAAGGGGGTAGTTCGGTAGTATGTGCAGGTGGTCAGTTGGTCAGTTGGTCAGTAGAGCAGGGAGAGCGAGTGGGGTAGGACGCTGAACGTATCAGTGTTTGTTAGTTGGTGTTAGTAGTAGACTAGTAGTAGTAGTAGTATTAGTAGTGGTAGTAAATAGTAGTAGTGTTGTGATCCATGTTGTATGTGTGATTCTTTGGCTAAGCTTGTTAGCAGAACCCACAGTACTCATGGGAGGATACTTAGATTAGATTGTTGTAGATTATGATAATAAAGCTCATTATTAATTACCACTAATAACTCTCTAGTCCAGTGTTCGTGTACTCTTGTGTATTAGGGTACAGTGACAGTGTGTTTGAAATATCATACCCCTAGGCCTAGACAACGGAGACGACACCATCAAACACTATATTAAAGAAGCAATTCGTGACACCTGGAAAAAACCTACAATGACGCCCCTGGCAACAGCCCAAGTCGAGTTAATTAAAAAAGTGGATTTCTAATATGTTTTTGGTTTTTTTTTGCATTTGGTAAATTGCTTTCACAAACCTGTTTGATGACTCAGACGTCCAGGATATATTAAGATCTTGTTCATCGGCCTCTCCTGTGTAACAGTTTAAAGTAGGTCGAAGTAGACCTGTCACGGCGGCCTGATGTTTCAAGGACCCTGCCACCCACTGCTGACCTAATTCTGATAACTCATTTTTGTTTTTAGAACTTGCAAACACATTTCTGATTGAAAGAGAAAAAAAAAAAACATAGCAAAAATTATTATCAAGTTCCACCAGGATTGTTTTGGCTGAAATTAAAATATAATGGTGCTTCATCTGAAAATTGAAAATGGCAATGCGGCTAAACAGCGTGGTGCATCACACTTTTTTCTGCTATAATTCCCACATTACTTGTTAAAAAAAAAAATTCTCGGACTCCGCCTCACCTGACGAGAACCTTACTTTACTTTTTCTTTTACTTGTCAGGTTTGCTAAACAAGAAACCATCCGATAAATGGACAACAGAAAAATTGTAGGAATTAAAAATAATTCCTTCTTGTACTCCGTGCCATCATTCTTTTAAAAAGGTTGAAAACTTCATGTTTGATGAGTCGATTCTATTTTAAAATATCAGAGTAGTTAACCGTGGCCATTTTTAGAATATTACTTCTGCATCCACTCAATATGTACGTATTTTCTCTGTGTGAAACGTTTACTAGCTGCTATATTTTTCATGGGACCATTTGGGTGTCTGATGAATTTTATAACTAAATAATTTTATTGACAGTTGAAGCTTTTTGGCAATAAACCCAGGGTGAATTTCAAAGTTAATAAAATTTTACAATAGGAACGAATAAACACTATAAATTAGCAAATTGACATGGCCAGAGACAGCATGACTGACTGGCAGCTTGCTTAGGCTAACATTATTATTACCTCCCTTCCTTGTCAATAAGTGTATAAATATAGGTGCTGCCGTTACTGCTGACAGTCGGCAATGGTTTCGTCATGTATGTGATGTCATATCCTGCATTCCCACACAAAGACTTTAACATGTTACGGAGGCGGTGGACACAGTCAGCTACTTCAATTCCTTGCAGTGAATCCAGTGATATCTGAAAGGAAGTTCACTCAGTGATGACTTGTGTCTGGGCTTAAAAAGATTTTCACAAGTTATTAAATTCAATGAACTGTATCCAGTTTTAAATATCTTAGATATTTGTATTCAATAGTTAAAGTTGGTGAAATGTTTGCTGGATGCTGTTAGAGAAATGAAATAGAGGTTTTTGGTTGGACTTAACTTGACTTAAGTGTTTTGCATAAATCCCTAACTTCCTAGCAGTTGAGTAGCTAGGGTCAGTGGTGTAGCTAGGGTCAGTTGTGTAGCTAGAGTCAGTTGTGTAGCTAGGGTCAGTTGTGTCGCTAGGGTCAGTAGTGTCGCTAGGGTCAGTGGTGTAGCTAGGGTCAGTGGTGTAGCTAGGGTCAGTGGTGTAGCTAGGGTCAGTGGTGTAGCTAGGGTCAGTGGTGTAGCTAGGGTCAGTGGTGTAGCTAGGGTCAGTGGTGTAGCTAGGGTCAGTGGTGTAGCTTGGGTCAGTTGTGTAGCTAGGGTCAGTGGTGTAGCTAGGGTCAGTGGTGTAGCTAGGTCAGTTGTGTAGCTAGGGTCAGTTGTGTAGCTAGGGTCAGTGGTGTCGCTAGGGTCAGTGGTGTAGCTAGGGTCAGTGGTGTAGCTAGGGTCAGTTGTGTAGCTAGTGTCAGTGGTGTAGCTAGGGTCAGTATTGTAGCTAGGGTCAGTGGTGTAGCTAGGGTCAGTGGTGTAACTAGTGCAGTGCCACCCGGGGTGGGCCAAGATTTTTTTCCCTCCCATTCCACAAAACAAAAACGACGTAGTAGGCCGAAAATGCCATGCCATTCAAGGGCAAGAACAGCGTACCATCAATATCAAATATTACCTGAAGTTTGCCTGGCTCAGCTCCCTTGCCGATAGAAACAACAGGAACACCACTGTCATGGAGTGCCCTCAATAATGTGTTGTTCAGCTGAGAGATGTCTTCCTGGAATTGAAAATAGCACAATATTTAAGATAAATTAATAGTTGCTTGAAGGGTTTGATAATGAAATAATAACAGAGGAAATGAAAACTAATTATCTATATATATAATTCGCCAGCAAAGGTCAAACATCACCACCACCATGCAGACTATACATATAATATAGATAATGAGTTCACTAGCGCGCAAAATATAATTCCCGATAGCTACGCTAATAATAACGCAACTTCGTTTGGTGCGTAATATTTTTCGATCAATGAAATCGTCTCAATTTAAGTATGGAGTGAAAAAAAATCTTCAGTTTAAAAGTGTTTGGGACATTAGAATATTGAATATAGTTCATGGGCGTGAAAAAAAAAAAGTGTGCAGTGACGTATCATTAGGGAGGGGGGGGGGTGTAGCAAAAACTGGAATTCATAAATGTGAGATACTTGAGTTCATGTTTTGTCAAGTAACCTTGTCAAGTAGATGGGAAGTTCACGCATTGCCGTCGCCAATGTTTGGCGGGCTATAACTAGTTGTCAATATTTTGCTGTGAGAAAAATGTATAGTGGAAAAGAGCAAACGTTTTGATGTATTTGGGTTGTTTTTTTTTCTTTAAACTTGAACATTGTATAAAGCATAAAATTAAAAGGATAAAAATGCTTCACTCAGAGATAAGCCTTTTTAGATCTTTTTACGGTTTATTTTTTCCGGGGTGGGGGAGGTGGGGGTGGGGGTAATGATCAACGTATCTTTCGGTGAGTTAGGTAATAGGACATACATACGTGAAGTGAAATGGGTATAATGGAGTCCTTCTTGAGGATGACAAACTCAAGCTGCAGTGAGACAGAGATGTCATAGCCGATGTCATTTAGTGCCTTAAGCTGTGAGACAGCTACAGTGCGAGGCATGGCCACCTCTGGCTCGCCTTTGGAGCTTAGCAGGTCGCAGAGCAAATGTCCCACCTGAAAGTAATCGAATGTATGAATGTATCCATTGAATGTTTGCTAGTTATCGCCATACCATGCTTCCAGGAAACATGGGGATAGAATTAAATCTTGATCATTTTAATGGTAAAATGCGCTTGGCAAATTAATCAAAATTTATCTACCACATATTTCTTTTATGGAACTTTAAAATTAATTATCTAATTCTAAATTGAAATCTATCAACAACAACAAAAGAAATGCAAAAAAAAAAAAATATCCTATAAATATTGTATTCAATAAAAGACATTTTATTGTAAGAAATTGTAGTTAGTTGAGTCTTTTTTATTATGGATAAATGATATGTGGATATTTTCAATATATTGGTTCATGGCCAGGGTGGCGAGATCTCCATGACAAGGTTGGGAAGAACTGTTACCTGGAAGCTAAATCATTACTTTTAGAACTTTTGAATCATCAAAAAGCTTTCAGTACCTTCTTGCCACCATATGACAGCCATGACAGTGGCCTGAGGGTGTCAGTGTCAGGTATGAGTGTTCCGTTACTCCACCCTTCTTTGGCGTAGGCCGTCAGATTGAGTGGTATGTCGCACATGATGCCAGAGAAGAGAGAAGCTGAAATGGAACATATATATTGTTTGAAGTCCTGTTGCTACTTTCCTGTGTTGATTTTGACCGTCAATATTTGTACATAGGTGTGTTACAGATTTCAAATTTATTATTGTGATTGGATCTTGATCGCCTGTGGGGCATTATGAACACTTCCGTCATATTTACGGATATAAGATTTTGGACATTTAAAAAAATTCTTAGGTCTGGCAGAACCAAAGAACAGGGGTTTGGCTAATGATCAACTTGATTTTCTATGGTTCCGGCGAATTTGGGTTCTACTGAATACAACAGAAGGATTTGAACTCCAGCACCAGTTGTATATGGACGGAGACCACAAGCCACTCACCTTGCGTCATTCCCAGGCCATTCCTAACAAAACCTTGAACACTACGTTTGAAGATAAAGCGCCCTCTGGCGACGCCGTGGATGTCGCAGGCTGTCAACAAGACCAGATCGTAGTCTTCAAGTTGACAGCTTGACTTGTCTCCGTTCTGTACTGCCATGGCTTCTTACACTGAAGCGCTGGAACATCATGTAAACACAAATATCTTATTTAATGTCAGTGACACAGTATTTTATTTTAACATCTTCATTACTTCTATACGCGATGTGAAGTGTGCCGAACAAAACCTTCTGGGGGACAGCAGCAACAACAACAAAAATAAAGGTGGGAGATGTTAAAGATTAAGTAAATTGTCCTTTTTTTAAAAACCAAACACATAAAACCAGAAATTGATCGTGGTGTTTAACTTTACGTTGTGATCGATGTATTCTAACGGAAGATATCAGTTTTATCAATTTAATAGTTTAATAATGAAGTGTGTTTCGTATTAAGCATCCAAGTCAATGGCGTAAGGTTAAAGTTGTAAAAAGCGTCTCTTACATCGACTTCACACTGTCTCAAAGAGCACCCATTGATGATGAGGTGAACCTTCGAATTGCAAGAGCCTATGCAACATTTGGAATAAATGTCTAAGAGTATATAGACAAGGGGAGGCATCAGGGCCCAAACCAAAATAAATGTTCACAAGACAGCTGTCGCTCCCAACGCTTCTATATACATGTGAATCATGGACAGTCTATCAACGCAATGCAAGGAAACTAAACCACTTTCACGCGATGAACCTTCAAAAAATCTTAAACATCAAATGGCAGGACAAGATCCCAGACACTGTGGTACTGGCACAAGCAAGTCTGGCAGGACAAGATCCCAGACACTGTGGTACTGGCACAAGCAAGTCTGGGAGCACAAGATCCCAGACACTGGGGTACTCGCACAAGCAGGTCTGGCAGGACAAGATCCCAGACACTGAGGTACTGGCACAAGCAAGTCTGGCAGCACAAGATCCCAGACACTGAGGTACTCGCACAAGCAGGTCTGGCAGGACAAGATCCCAGACACTGTGGTACTCGCACAAGCAGGTCTGGCAGGACAAGATCCCAGACACTGAGGTACTCGCACAAGCAGGTCTGGCAGGACAAGATCCCAGACACTGTGGTACTCGCACAAGCAGGTCTGGCAGGACAAGATCACGGACACTGTGGTACTCGCACAAGCAGGTTTCCCTAGCATTACATACCTTATTAATGAAGACCCAGCTTTGCTGGGCGGGCCATGTTGCGAGAATGTCAGACCGCTATCATATTGAATTTTAATTAGTTTTTCATTTTTTAATAATTTTTTAGTTCAAAAGTGTGACGTAATTTTGTGGTGGGTGGGTATGAGATTTCTGACAGTTTGTGACAGGGGGAGGGGGAGGGGTGGGAAGGGTGTAAAAATGTTCTAAAAATAGCTTAACGTTCTTTATGGACGACACTTAACACTTATTGATCATAATGACGAGTAAGTGCTATGGCCCTTGAAACATCGGAGAACCCTCATGAGGCCCTTAGGGAAGTTTGAGAACCATCCTATAGATTGCGTTTCCTTTTCCAATAAAACTGTTGATCAGCGATGAACCGATATAAAATAGAAAGCTCTAATTTTATCTTTTAGGATAAAGGGGGCAAATATAACTTCTGGGGTGGGGGTGGGGGGGGCATTTTGTTCTGCCAGTCTACGCCATGCAATGCATTCAACTGAAGGGTCGACTTAAAAGGTCTTTCACTGCGCAATAAAGGCAGCGCCGGTTCGAGGTATCGGCAACTCGGACAGTTTCCCGGGGCGCCATGTAGGCTGCCCACGGTGGGCTACTTGTTAGTACTGCCCCACCCCCCCTCCCCGCCAGGGAGGTGCTGGCCCACGACGACGCGACGAGCATTCGTCATGGGCCTTTTTGGGCAGTTATTACAATCTCCGGTGTGCACGGGGAGGGGGGGGGCCTCCGGGCCTTTCTTACTACACCGTTCGTTTCGCCCCCCCCCCCCCCCCCCCCCCCCCCCCCCCCGTAGGCTAACTGCTAATAATAACCAAATAGAAGTTAAAAAAACCAATGTTACTGTTCATTATTTGTTTTTAAAAACAACAGCCAAGGTAATAAACTTATCACCCAATCCCCAATTTTTTCCCTGCACAAATTTGTATGTTTATACTTAAAAGGGGCGCCAAAGGTACGATTGCACTGGGCGCAAGCAACAGTTGGGCCGGTCCTGAGTAAATTATGGATTATAACTACTTTCACGTCATATACCTGGATGACGGTGGGGCAAAGAAAGAATTAGTTGCCATGATCCTTTTAGTGAAAAGTATTCCTAACCGGTCATATTGAAATCAGATCTCTTTGCCTATCAAAATATATGCAAATATTTCTTTTTCTTTGTTTTTCTCTATAGACAATCATATTGTAACCTTGCAACTTTCCCATTGTACCCTTAAAACATTCACATTGTACCCTTACAACATTCACATTGTACCCTTACATCATTCACATTGTACCCTTACACCATTCACATTGTACCCTTACAACATTCACATTGTACCCTTACAACATTCACATTGCACCCTTACAACATTCACATTGTACCCTTACAACATTCACATTGTACCCTTAAAACATTCACATTGTACCCTTACATCATTCACATTGTACCCTTACATCATTCACATTTTACCCTTACATCATTCACATTGTACCCTTACAACATTCACATTGTACCCTTACATCATTCACATTGTACCCTTAAAACATTCACATTGCACCCTTACAACATTCACATTGTACCCTTAAAACATTCACATTGTACCCTTAAAACATTCACATTGTACCCTTAAAACATTCACATTGTACCCTTACATCATTCACATTGTACCCTTACAACATTCACATTGTATCCTTACAACATTCACATTGTACCCTTACAACATTCACATTGTACCCTTACAACATTCACATTGTACACTTACAACATTCACATTGTACCCTTGAAACATTCACATTGTACCCTTGAAACATGCACATTGTACCCTTACAACATTCACATTGTACCCTTACAACATTCACATTAAATCTTTACAACATTCACATTGTACCCTTACAGCATTCACATTGTTTCCTAACAACCAACAATATTCATAATTCACATTATATCCTTACAACATTCACTTTGTCTATTTGTTTTACTGATGAAGGCAAGTGCCGAAACGTATATTTTTGTATTCTGTAAAATTATCATTAAAGCCTACCTTATATTGTCATATTGACACAAATTGTTGGTGTCTAATTAATCTATTTTAAAGCTTTATTGCAGTCCAACACTTTTTATAATTAGTTAATAAAATCTAAAACTTACACTTCTCCACCGTAGGTAATTCACACTACTCCAAAGTAAGTAATGGGCACTTCTCCACCGTAGGTAATTCACACTACTCCACAGTAAGTAATGGGCACTTCTCCTCAGTAACTTATTAACATCACAGTGTTAGAATTAGATCACATGAACACTGTCCTTTTTGAATCTCCCTCAAGATTGCCAATTACCTTTTTGAAAATGGTAAATTCAACCATTGTAATGTCAAGCAACAGTAACAACGTAACTAATCCGCTCCATACATTTCACCCTGAGAAAGACAGAACATGCGTGCGAGGGGAGCTGAAGGGGTCAGACGATGACTACACTTTGCACTGAATTCCCCCCCCCCCCCCCCNCCCCCCCCCCTCTCTCTCTCTCTCTTTTCCCCCAAACAAAAAATGTTCCTCGTTTAGTTGTTGTTGTTTTTTTTTTTATGCTGGTGACCTCTCTTTCTCTCTCCCTCTCTCTCTCTCTCTCTCTCTCTCTCTCTCGCTCTCTTGTGTAACCACAAACTGGATCAGAGCTAAAGGTGGTGGGGAAACATATATCGACATACACATCTGCTGACTGCAGGATTTGTGTGTGTAGATGTGTGAATCCTTGATACACGGTGATTGCCTGTGTAAACTTGACGGGGAACTCTATATTTTTTTATTTTTTTTTTTTACAAACTTTTTAACCTTTGAACTCAACTGCTTCTTTGAATTTGAACCATTGACACCATTTCCAGTTCAGTTCAGCCACGTAACCAGTTTAAGTGAGATAGTTTTAAACTGCTTCGACTTGTACATGTAAGTACTACTGTTTAGTCATTTAATCATTTAAAACTAGATCTCAATTAAGGTGTTTTTAAACTACTGTATGGTGAATTATTGTTTAAAATGTTTGCTACCATGTTTATTCTTTGATCTTAAAATATATATTAAATTTATATTTTAAAATTGAAAGAAAAAAACGACTAATTTTCTCGATTGCATGGTAGATAAATGATAGTGATAGGTTCAGATTTCGGCATTTTTTAAAATTATTGTTTTTCGCTGCCATTTTATATAAATATAAATATATATATATATATATATATATATATATCAACTAACATGTCCACATTGATATTTGCCAGCCTCTTTAAAATGGAATTTACTTTGATTTTAATACCAACGAGATTCATAATTTCTTACCTCTGCCATGCGTCGTTCTCATCACATAGAACTGGGTAAAGAGTGCTCGAAGAATTAAATATTTACACGGCTCACGCGTGCCAGCATAAAAGCTTAAGTCCATGACTAAATATTTCTCCCCAGAGGCGTAGCAATGGGGGGGCAGGGGGGACAGATGTCCCCTGGCGCAAGCTAGTTAGGGGCGCCAAAATTTTATTTGATATTATATTATTGGTAAAAATAATTGGTTTGAGAGTTGAAAAAAAGAAAAGGGGGCGCTTTAAAATGGATCTTGTCCCCGGGCGCGAATCTTGTCCCCGGGCGCCAAACACCCTCGCTAACACAAACTCGCGGTTTCGTCCCCTTCGGCTATCCCCATGGACCTCCGCCGAGTCTGCACGTTCTTGTGGCACCCTGTTCTGGTGGCACCCTGTTCTGATTGCACCCTGTTCTGGTGGCATCCTGTTCTGGTGGCACGCTGTTCTGGTGACACGCTGCTCTGGTGGCACGCTGTTCTGGTGACACCCTGTTCTGGTGGCACGCCGTTCTGGTGACACCCTGTTCTGATTGCACACTGTTCTGGTGACACCCAGTTCTGATGACACCCTGTTCTGGTGGCACCCTGCTCTGGTGGCACCCTGTTCTGGTGGCATCCTGTTCTGGTGGCACCCAGTTCTGATGGTACACAGTTCTGATGGCATCCTGGTCTCTAGTCTTATTTTACTTAGATCTGTTATGAAAGTGACTGGAGCGAGCACTGTCAAATCGCAATTTTTCATTTGGTGTAACCCCTTGAGAGTTGTGTCACCCAGTGCAGTCCTCACCCCCCCCCACCCCAGCCGGCCGCACCACGCTACTGGCCATTGTTGTTCTCCCACTGTTTGTTCTTTGTTGTTTGTTTTAACTAAAGATCACACATGTTCTTTTTAAACTAGACAATCGCTTATTATTTTTAGTTAAAATCAGATAACCAATTGTAGGCCACGTGTCATAGAAGTAAACTGTCTGTCTTAACCCCTGGATGCCACCAGATATCAGGTCACTATATCGTTAATTTTTGGGGAAGTAGAAATGTCTTCTTTAACCCCTGGGTGCCGCCAGGTACCAAGTCAATATTTAATTAATTGTTTGGATGTAGAAAAGTAATTTAACCCTTGGATGCCACCAGGTACCAAGTCAACATCTAATTAATGTTTTGGAAGTAGAAATATCTACTTTAACCCCTGGATACCGCCAGGTACCCAGTCAATATCTAATTAATGTTTTGGAAGTAGAAATATCTACTTTAACCCCTGGATGCCACCAGGTACCAAATCAATATCTAATTAATGTTTTGGAAGTAGAAATATCTACTTTAACCCCTGGATGCCACCAGGTACCAAATCAACATCTAATTCATGTTTTGGAAGTGGAAACATCTACTTTAACCCCTGGATGCCACCAGGTACTAAGTCAACATTTAATCAGTTGTTTGGAAGTAGAAACGCCTACTTAACCCCTGGATGCCGCCAGGTACTAAGTCAATAGTTAATTAAGTATTTGGAAGTGGAATCATCTTGTTTCCAGTCTCTGGCTCAGTCAGGGAGAAGTGTGTGAAAGCTGAATTAACAAATCCATCGCGCCCTGTCTGGGGAACGCTAATGCTAAATTACAGCGGTTCTCAAACTGGTCACCCATATTCACAAGGCCGGCTGTAGATCATATTACATGCAGTACCCAATAAGTGTGCAATAGGTATTTCTACAATACAGATGATTCTTTCTTAAAATGAAATGGTCTGGGCCCACAGAACTTATATCTATGTCATACATTCTTTTTATTTTACAAGGAGCACCATTAGACTAATAATATATTTTTTTAATACTCTTTTTTTTATTTAAAAAAAAAAGGTCTAATTTTTTTTTGCATTAAATACTTTGCTTCGTAACCGTTGTTCTACTTTATTTAAATTATTATACAAATAATTATTATCATTTATATCGGACGATTCAGTTGGTGCCTATGAAAAGTTTAAAATACTATTTCATGGATGTTTTTGATAAATTGTATTTCGCGTTTTCCCTTCCATTTTCCTCGAGATTTTGGATTTTCTAATAGTTTACAATTTACCATAGCACCATAAACTTCAAATATGGTGAAAGTACGTCATTATATGAGATTATATATCATAACACCACACATTTCAAATATGAAGAAACTAGGTCATCATATGGGATTTTTAGCGTAACACCGTACATTTCAAATAATGGTGAAACTACGTCATTATATGAGATTTTTAAAGGGGTGGCCTTCTTGGGGAATTTAAATATTATTTTCGTCCTTCTGATTTTTTTTTTTTTTTATTTAAAAAGAAAAAATAATTTTGTAATATTTATTTTGTAATAAGATATCCACTATATGAGTATGATGATGAAAAAATAATAAGATCCACGAAACTCAAAAATAAACTAATTGATTAAATATTTTTTTCGTCCTTCTGATTTTTTTTTTTTTTTATTTAAAAAGAAAAAATAATTTTGTAATATTTATTTTGTAATAAGATATCCACTATATGAGTATGATGATGAAAAAATAATAAGGTCCACGAAACTCAAAAATAAACTAATTGCCCGTCCATCTATCTGCCAGTCTGTCTATCGTACTGTCTGCCTGTCTTCCCATTCATCTAGCTTTCTACTTTTATTTCTTTCCTGTCCTCTATGCATTTTTTTTTTTTTTTGTAATTTAATTCTGGGATTGTTGCCTATGATCCCATGTGCAGTACATAGAAGTTGGTTTGTTGTTGTTTTTTCGTTTTTTTTACAAACTGTATGAAACCGCTGATTCCGTCCCACAGTTTTAGAATCTCTGCTCACGACCGGAATCAATAAAACAACGAGGTGGTTTAGCAACCCGTAGGAAATGAAAAATCATTACGTCCGGGCATGGCCCACTTTCTATCTCCTTGAGCATTGATACATTCAGTACTAAGGCAAAGTGTTGGTAAGGGGATCGGTACAAGTGGGCGTACAGGGGTCAGTACGAGAGGGCGTACAGGGGTCAGTACAAGAGGGCGTACAGGGGTCAGTACAAGAGGGCGTACAAGGGTCAGTACAAGTGGGCGTACAGGGACAGGGGTCAGTACAAGAGGGCGTACAGGGGTCAGTACAAGTGGGCGTACAGGGGTCAGTACAAGTGGGCGTAAAGGGCCAGTACCAGAGGGCGTACAGGGGTCAGTACAAGTGGGCGTAAAGTGGTCAGCGGCGTAGCTAGCGTGATTAGCAACCGGGGACAAGATTCATTTTTACAACCCCCTCAACTCTGAAACTTATTCTTTTCATCAATAACATGACATGAAAACCTATTTCTACGCCCCCTGCAAGACTGGCGCCCAGTGGACATTTGTCCCCAATCTGGCCACCCCCACCTTATCTATGTCTCTGAAATGGGTTGGTACAAGAGAGCGTGTAGCGGTCAGGGGTGCGATGAACATGTGGGGTTGAAGGTTTGTAACTGGAGTCACCCTGTCTATTCAAGTTATACCGTTACTTGATCTTGCTTACTTCACTCCAGCTTCCCATTCTAGCCTTTCGCTACAGCTTTACATTCTGACCTTTCACTTCAGCTTGACATTCTAACCTTTCACTACAGCTTTACATTCTAACTTTTTCACTACTGCTTCACATTCTAACTATTCACTACTGCTTCACATTCTAACTTTTCACTACAGCTTCACATTCTAACCATTCACTCTGCCTCAACATTCTAACCAATTTCACTCCAGCTTGACGTTCTAACCTTTCACCAGAAAACTTTATTTTATTTTTTTTATTTTTTCGGGGGGGGGGGGGCACTGCTAATCCTTCAAAATTACGCTGCCAAACTTTTTTTTTTTTTACTTAGTGCCGCTACTGCCAAGCATTTCACCGCTATTCTGCCACGATAGAACCGCACTAAGCTTGCCGAAAATGGCACAACTCTATACAAAAAAAGTATAATAAAAGTGCCGTGAACCCCCCACCCCCCCCCACTTCCTTCCACACCCTCTGTCTACGCCACTGATTGTAAATACACACATTTGACTTTGAATCAGCTCCAGTGTTACACTACTGTCTCTCTTTCTCTCTAACACCCCCTACCCCCCTCCTTTATTCCCCTCCTCTCTCACCCGCCGCTGCTAGCAAACCGTTTAGGGTGGCTAAAAAAAAATGGCGATTC